AAAATAATAACTTGACCCTCTAACACTAGCTCTCTCTATTCTATTTCAATTCTATATACTTGTTTTCTTTTTATTTATTAAAAATAATAACTTGACCCTCTAACACTAGCTCTCTCTATTCTATTTCAATTCTATATACTTGTTTCCTTTTTATTTATTCAAAATAATAACTTGACCCTCTAACACTAGCTCTCTCTATTCTATTTCAATTCTATATACTTGTTTTCTTTGTATTTATTAAAAATAATGACTTGACCCTCTAACACTAGCTCTCTCTATTCTATTTCTATTCTTTATACTTGTTTTATTTTATTTATTTAAAAAACTTGACCCTCTAATACTAGAACTCTCTATGCTATTTCTATTCTATCTTCTTGTTTTCTTTTTATTTATTAAAAAATAATAACTTGACCCTGTAACACTAGCTCTCTCAATTCTTTTTCAATTCTATATACTTGTTTTCTTTTTATTTATTAAAAATAATAACTTGACCCTCTAACACTAGCTCTCTCTATTCTATTTCAATTCTATATACTTGTTTTATTTTTATTTATTACAAATAATAACTTGACCCTCTAATACTAGCTTTCTCTATTCTATTTATATTCTTTATACTTGTTTTATTTTATTTATGAAAAAAATTTGACCCTCTAACACTAGAACTCTCTATTCTATTTCTATTCTATCTTCTTGTTTTCTATTTATTTATTACAAAAATAATAACTTGACCCTCTAACACTAGCTCTCTCAATTCTATTTCAATTCTATATACTTGTTTCCTTTTTATTTATTCAAAATAATAACTTGACCCTCTAACACTAGCTCTCTCTATTCTATTTCTATTCTTTATACTTGTTTTCTTTTATTTATTAAAAAAACTTTCTATTCTATATACTTGTTTTCTTTTTATTTATTAAAAATAATAACTTGACCCTCTATCACTAGAACTCTCTATTCTATTTCTATTCTATCTACTTTTTTTCTTTTTATTTATAAAAATAATAACTTGACCCTCTAACACTAGCTCTCTCTATTCTATTTCTATTCTATATACTTGTTTTCTTTTTATTTATTGAAAATAATAACTTGACCCTCTAACACTAGCTCTCTCTATTCTATTTCTATTCTATATACTTGTTTTCTTTTTATTTATTGAAAATAATAACTTGACCCTCTAACACTAGCTCTCTCTATTCTTTTTTTATTCTATATACTTCTTTTTATTTATTAAAAAATAACTTGACCCCTAACACTAGCTCTCTCTATTCTATATCTATTCTATCTACTTGTTTTCTTTTTATTTATAAAACACATTTACATATTGTTGCTCTTGTGTTGGTTTGATATCTTCCATTGTAAGTCGCTTTGGGTAAAAGCACCTGCTAAATGACTAAATATAAATGTAAATATTTACAGTAACATCTGCTAGTGGACTTGTTGCAGTACATTTAGGACAGTGTTAATCACTGTCCTTCTGTCTGATTTCAGGCCGTTTTAAGGCTTTAAAGGTTGAAGTTTGCGGTGAAGAAGCAGCACACATGTCCTTCAGTCACTTTAACTCACTGCTGCCAAAGAAACACTAAAGTGACTTTCAGAGACGCGGATCATTCAGCCAAAACCTGCAGAGATGAAGCGAAGATGTTCTCTGAAGTCCGAGAAGACCGCTGGACACTAACACCGCATCCTAACCACTGCTCGACTGATCGGAGTTTATTAAAGGCCAGATATTTTATTTGCATTTACATTTCATTCTAATATGCTGATATGGTGCATGTGAAATTTATTTATTTCTTATTATCAATGTTGAAAACATTCGTGCTGCTTAATACTTGCAGTGCCTCACAGTTTCCACAAGAAATTAATACTTTTATTCATTCAGAACGCATTAAATTGATCAAAAGTGACAGTAAAGACATGTATAATGTTACAAAAGATTTCTATTTCAAATAAATGCTGTTCTTTTGAATTCTGAAAAATAAAATGCATCACGGTTTCCTCAAAAATATTTGGCAGCAAAACTGTTTTCAACATTGATAATAATCAGAAATGTTTCTGGAGCAGCAAATTAGCATATTAGAATGATTTCTGAAGATCATGAGACACTGAAGACTGGAGTAATGATGCTGAAAATACAGCTTTGATCACAGAAATAAATGACAGTATAACAGATAATAAAATAAAATAAAACATGTCGCTTCATTAGAGTGAATGAATGAATGAATGAATACAAATTTAATAAATAAAATAAATAAATGCTTCCTGCTTGGCCATTACAGTAGGCAAAGTTTTGGATTAAAAAAATAAGAATAAAAATAAATTATATAAAATATTATAAAAAATAATCAATCAAATAATACGTAAAAGCCTGCCATGAAATCAGGATTTTGCCATGAATTTCTGCCATGAAATGTTAGGATTTTGAAAAATAGATTAAAAAAAAAATAATAATAAAATAAATATTCACTTGTAGGCTACTGTAAATATCACTCAGAGTAATTTATTTCTGCCATGAAATGTTACGATTTTGAAAAATAGATTAAAAAAATAATAATAATAAAATAAATATAAAGGTCTGCTGCTTTGCCATTACAGTAGGCAAAGTTTAAGAATTTGTAAAATAAAATAAAATAATAACATATAATAAAATAAAATGCAAATGACTCCTATTTCACCATGACAGTAGTTAGGCCTAAATGGGAAAACTGACTGTGTAACAAGACTAAAGGTTAAAGTTCATGCCTGTTCTTTGAGAATGCAGTGTTCATGTTCCAGTCGGACAGATGGAAACGAAACGCAGCCGAACTCATGTCAGTCTTACCGTGATCGGTGATCTTGCAGGACACGAGATAGAGCTCCTTCAGACTCCGACCCTCTTTAGCGATGATCTCCACACACCTGCCGACACACAACGGGGTCAAAGGTCAGGAAAGGTCAAAGGTCATCTGCACATGCTCGTGAATCAAAGCAGGTGTCATTCCATCACCTGACGTAATTACATCACTCAATAATTAAACGTGACTCGCTCCGGGCCTTTCTTCTCCACTGATCCCATATCTGCACCTCAAAAGAAAAATTAATAATTTAATTAAATCGACTCTGATTAAAAACTAAAAAGGCTTTCAGATGGAAAAAGCCCCCGTGCCAAAACTGCTAATGCCCCGACTTCAAAGACACGTCGACGGGACGAGATAATGCTGCATGTTTGCTGGAGAATCACAGCAATCCTGTATAAGTTTGACCTGTTAACCTCTAGAGCAACATTTATTCTCCAGAGTTCAGCCTTCAGATCTACAGCTGATACAAACACTGCTCATGATGTACATGATGGGGAATCAGTGGAGATTAACTGAAAACCCACGACGAGGTCCTGAATCACATTTGCATTCATGCATTTGACAGACGCTCACATCTAAAGCATTAATGCATGCAGGAACGATTCAACTGGCCAAATGTGCTCACACACACATCAGGCATTCTTCTGCTTTACAGCATACAAGACGCATTACAAGACTGAACAGAAATATTCAAAATACAAGATTGATTTGATCAGTTTGTGCATCTCTGGGAATCAAACACAAATCTGATGCTGCTGACTAAACGATAAAGGTGAAGTGTGTTGTTTTCTGCTAAAATGGTTTGTTTGTTTGTTTATTTATTTTAAATAAATATATTTCTCATTTTCATTGTTTCACATCACCAGCTGCCTTTGACTGAACTAAACCGACAGACACTGAACCCTCCTTATACACAAAATAGACATTTTCTACAACATACTGCATTACTAAATACTAAATGGACAAAAATAAAATAAAATAAAATTTAAAAAACCATCAAGGACTTGTTGCTGTTCCATCAACCCATGAGCCACTGCTCTGGAGATGTTCACCATCCAATGCACAGAAACGGGTTTCCACTATCTAATTGAATCTAATTGTGTTTCTACATCGCTGTCCGGATACTTTACCCTGAGAGTGACCTGATCCAGCCCAGAGATAATCACAGCGGTTCATCTGCCACAGCGAGCCGGCCGGCACCAGACCAGACCAGACCGCTCACTCCAGTCCAGTCTGGTCCAGACCAGACCGCTCACTCCAGTCCAGTCCAGACCAGGCCGCTCACTCCAGTCCAGTCCAGACCAGAGCAGTCCGCTCACTCCAGTCCAGTCCGGTCCAGACTAGTCCAGACCAGACCAGACCAGTCCAGTCCACTCAGTCCAGTCCACTCACTCCAGTCTAATAGAGTCCAATCCAGTAAAGACCAGACCAGTCCAGTCGAGTCCAGACCGCTCACTCCAGTCCAGTCTGGTACAGACCAGACCAGTCACCTCACTCCAGTCCAGTCCGGTCCAGACCAGTCCAGACCAGACCAGACCGCTCACTCCAGTCCAGTCCGGTCCAGTCTAGTAGAGTCCAATCCAGTAAAGACCAAACCAGTCCAGTCGAGTCCAGTCCACTCACTCCAGTCCAGTCCGGTCCAGTCTAGTAGAGTCCAATGCAGTCCACTCACTCCAGTCCAGTCCAGTCCAGTCCGGTCCAGTCTAGTAGAGTCCAATCCAGTCCAGTCCACTCACTCCAGTCCAGTCCGGTCCAGTCTAGTAGAGTCCAATCCAGGCCAGTCGAGTCCAGACCACTCACTCCAGTCCAGTCCGGTCCAGTCTAGTAGAGTCCAATCCAGTTGAGTCCAGACCGCTTACTCCAGTCTGCTCCGGTCCAGTCTAGTAGAGTCCAGTCCAGTCCAGTCCACTCACTCCAGTCCAGTCCGGTCCAGTCTAGTAGAGTCCAGTCCAGTCGAGTCCAGACTGCTCACTCCAGTCCAGTCCGGTCCAGTCTAGTAGAGTCCAATCCAGTCCAGTCCAGTCCAGTCCACTCACTCCAGTCCAGTCCAGTCTAGTAGAGTCCAATCCAGTCAAGTCCAGACCGCTCACTCCAGTCTTCTCCGGTCCAGTCTAGTAGAGTCCAGTCCAGTCCACTCACTCCAGTCCAGTCCAGTCCGGTCCAGTCTAGTAGAGTCCAGTCCAGTCCACTCACTCCAGTCCAGTCCAGTCCGGTCCAGTCTAGTAGAGTCCAGTCCAGTCCAGTCCACTCACCCCAGTTCGGTCTAGTCTAGTAGAGTCCAATCCAGTCCAGTCCACTCACTCCAGTCCAGTCCAGTCCAGTTCAGTCCATTAATAAGCATTAATGACAAGCGGCTGATGAGGGAAACGACACATTACAGCCGCTCAACGACTGAGCCATTGAGTTTCATCAGAGTGAAGAACCAAAACAAAAGAGAAACAGGAGATCGATGCTGGAACTAAAGCTGTAATGGACAAATACGTGAAATTACACTAACGTCAAACTGCAACTGAAGTCTCCTGAAACACTCCTGAAATTCATCAAACATCAGATAAACGAGCACAAGTGCAAACTATGGCTTATCAGGAGGTATAGACGACCAAACCTGCAGAAAAAATTTAATAAATAAAATGTATTTATAGGAAAATAAATAAAGGCATAAATGACTTGATAAAACAAATACAATTTAAAAAAATATATATGTATCTAATTTTAACTCATATATTTTTTACTACTTTTTTACTTGATTATTTTCTGTATTTATTTGAACATTATTTTTATTATTTTTAACTTAATTTTATATTTATGCATTCATATATTTTATTTAGTAGCAATACACACTGTCTAAACTGTTATTATGTTTTTTGCATTAATATTTTTGTAATTGTTACATTAATAGTTATGAATTATTTTGTTGAGACCACAATTTTTCAAAAAAATAGAAACAGTTATGATGTGCTTCCTATTTTATGTTGTAAGTCCGGTGTTAATATAAATTCAGGACTAAATAAATTTATTAATGAATTAATAATTAATAAATTATTAAATATTTAATAATTAATAATTTATGAATTAAGTTGTTTAATTATTTTTATATGTGATATATATGTGTTAGCCATTTTAGATTTTCTGATTTCATGC